GCTAATCCCCTAGTTCCCTTCTCTACTTTTTGGGAGACAAAGTTGTCTGCTAGGTTTGCCAGGAACCGGTTTGATCTTCCACTTGGTGCAGAGTTTGTGTCCCAGTTGATGTCAGGGTAGTTAAAGTCCCCCATTACTATTGTGATGTGCTTCCTACATACCTTAGTTAGCTGACTAGCAAAAAGTTCATCTATTTCCTGTTTGGTTGGGTGGCCTGTAGTATACACCTATGGCAATGTCATTTCCCCCCCCCCCTTTTATATTGACCCAAATGCATTCAAGACAGTTTTTATCATTGTTGTGCTCTATTTCTGTAGAGATGTAGTTATTTCTTATATAATTTCTATCTGATCTCCTTTGATCTGATCCTTGGACTGGTGTGGGAGTCTCCTGATTTATGGTTCACCATTATACCTGCAATGGCCCATTGGTTGACAACCATAAATCATTATGAGCATATTGCACCTGTCTTGCAGGTCCTTTATTGATTGCCGTTGAGTTCAAAATATTAGCATAAGTTATAAAGCACCATATGGCTTGGCTTCTAGCTACTTCTTATGAGTACATTGTCAATTAAGCATGCCAGGTCATGATAAACCCATGGCAAAAATTGTGTGCCCCGAAGAAGAACACTATGAAACTGGAACAATTAAGCACAGCTTTAAGCTGCCTTAACTGTGGGCTAAATATGAGAGGTAGGCAATGTCACTGGGATGTGCCAGATAAGAATTGTTAGCAATGCACACTTGTGCTGCAGTTAGGAGGATTCAAATATGAGCCAATAATGTTTTCTATAGTTATCCAACCATTGTTATGTGAAAAATAACAATTATGAGGATAAGCTTTATATAATAATAATAATAATAATAATAATAATAATAATAATAATAGTAGTAGTAGTAGTAGTAGTAGTAATAATAATAATAATAATAATAATAATAATAATAATAATAATAATAATAATAATAATAATAATAATGGACGTGGCAGTGCCTGGAGACAGCAGAATAGACGAGAAAGAACTGGAGAAGATAACAAAATAAAAAGACCTACAAATAGAAATAGAAAGACTGTGGCAAAAGCAAGCAAGGGTAGTACCAATAGTAATAGGCGCCTTGGGTGCAATCCCAAAACAACTGGAGCACCACTTGAACACCATTGGCATTCACAAATTTGCCATTAGTCAATTGCAAAAGGCGGCCTTACTAGGAACTGCTTCCATCCTGCAACGATATCTGTAATACCATCAAACATCCACATCTGCCTATCCCAGGTCCTTGGGAAGGACTCGATAGGTAGACAAAATGCCAAATCCAGTCTGAACATCTGGCTGACTGTGCGATGGTCCATCATCATCATCATCATCATCATCATCATCATCATCATCATCAAGTTGGAAGGGACCTTGGAGGTCATCAAGTCCAACGCCCTGCTCAGGCAGGTAACCCTATACCATTTCGGACAAATGGCTGTCCAGACTCTTCTTAAAAACTTCCAGTGTTGGAGCATTCACTGCTTCTGGAGGCAGGTTGTACTGTATCTTTTCAGTGATGACTGGATCATGTTATATTGCTCTGTCGCCAGTCTGGTGAGGTTGGATCACAGGTTCTTTGGGGCTCCACAACAGTAGAAGTACTTAAGGTTTTATTCCAAGGGTGGTATAAAAAAATTAATATAGCCACATAGCATGGGACAGCAATTAAATAATATTAAAACAAGATAGTAATTAAGCATATTTAAAAATACAGTAAGTCAAGAAGACTTAGTTTATATCCTTTCTTACAGGCAAGGAACCCTGAAGAGATGATGGCAGGTGGATTCCTTCAAAGCCAGCAAATGAGCAGCACTCATTCAGTTAGGTCTACATCTAATCCCATGTGGGTTTTTGATTATCTTATTAAGCCCACTTGCTTTTCAGTAGTTTAATCTCAGTTGATTACTGGTGGCAATAGGCCACCTCAAAGTTGAGGAGCATCTGTTTCTCCAAGGTTAATTGGGATTGAAGATGAGAGAGAGATTTTGGGAAATATTAAAAAGGCAGAATATATTTCCCCAAAGGAATAATGGAGAAGATATTTAAAAAAGACAGAAACCAGCCCCCAGAAACCAGCCCAGCTCCTAGGCAGAAGCCAGCTTTTAGAAATGCAAATTCAATAATCCTTTCAGAAAGGTTGGAGCCTTCCAGCCAGAAACTGAAGAGATTAGGAAGACAAAGACCCTTAAAATCTACATACCCCACCCAAACTCTAAGACAGGACATAATAGGATTATGTCCAATACCAATACCAAAAGGGCACACTCCGACTCAGGTCAAAGTACATGACACAGGAAATACAAAGCCTCAGACAGGAACAGGAAACAACCTCAAGAGCCCCAGAAGGTTTCAAAGCCCACCACTCTGCTCCATGTGGTCAGTTGTTTTTCCAGAGCCATCTTTCTATCTGGCTCTCCTTTTCAATAAACTGCAACCTTTTTTCTAAAGCAGTCTCCATGTTTATTTATTTCCAGCTTGGACTGGACTCCAATGAAGATTTTTCTTTTCTTTTTTT